TGGAGCTGCCTTCCCTTCCCAACCCCATCCCTGTGTCCAGGGCATGCGCATGAAAGGTCAGGAGCAGCTGCTCCATCCCAGCAGCTGTTTGTATGATGGAAAAAGAGCCAGGTGGTTCTTGCTTTGCTCTCCTTGAAGAGCTGAGATAATGCCATACCACTCGGCTCTCTTGGCTCCTGACAGAGCATTGAGCATCGGCCACTTGACGCCAGGGATGCCCATCACTTCTCCCTGCCAAGCAGCTGAGTCCCTCCACAGACCCAGCATCCCTCTGGGGAACACACAATCCCAAGACAGCCCTGGCACCCACAGCTCTCCTTACCTCACGGTGGTGAGAGGCAGCAGCTGGGACTCCTGGGTCCACACTACCAAGGGAGGGGGATACCCCTGAACCTCGCAGGGCAGAGTGGTCTCCTGCCCAAGCACAGCCAGGATGGTTACGGGGTCCGACGCCTGCGATCCGTTCACGTTGATCCTGGGCTTTGCTGGGTGGAGAGGGAGTGTGGCTGGTGCAGGAACACTTCAGGTGCCCCACAGTCCTCTTTGCTCCCCTTCCCATCCTGCAAACTCATCTGGCACCTGGCTAGGTGGCCCATGGAAGCTAGGAGAGTCCCCAGGTCATGGTCTCCCAGCCAGTCACCCTCTGGTGCTGTTTTACTGGGGGATGGTGCCAGGGCCAGTCCCGGGCACTCACTGCTGACGGAGAGCTGCATCTCCCGGCTGGAGAACCCTGCCGTGTTGGTAGCTGTGCAGAAGTAGGTTCCTGCGTCCCCGGGTGAGGGTGAAGGGATCAGGAGGGTCCCACTAGGGTCGGGGTGGTAGCGTGGGCTTGGCGAGATGGGCTCTGTGCCCTGCAGAGGAAAAGGAAGGGAGGAAGGCAGACAGCAGAGACTCTCCCGTGAGCTGAGCAGCCCAAGGGCAACAAGAGGGCTCTGGACCCATCAGAGCAAGGTGTCTCCCGGTCCCAGCTTCCCAGGGCACTTGGTGTCACCTCCCTGGGCAGCCACAGCCACACTGGTGAGCTACGTCCCCTCCAAAGGCATCACTCCACACCCGAAGGTGACCCACAGCCTGGCTGGCAGCTGGATGGCAGCCTGCCTGTCCCTGTCACCTACCTTTGCCCAGGTGACAGTAGGCGGGGGCACGCCGGTGGCATTGCATCGCAAGGTGACAGCTTCTCCCTCGGTGGCAGTGAAGAGGACAGGGCCAAGCTCAATGCTGGGAGGAACTGGGAAGGAAGAGAAGCACCTCAGCCTGCGTGGCCAGGGCCATATCCACAGAGCACTGCGCTTTGCAGCGTAAGAAGTGCTGCTCACAGCAGAGCTGGGACGCCTGGCACCCTGCCACTCACCATGGATGACCAGGGACACGTCCTGCCTGTGCGAGCCGAGCGCGTTGGTCACCACGCAGGTGTACGTCCCCGCGTCCCCCTGTGACGCCTGGTCCACGTGCAGGGTCCCGTCATCCCGGACGGAGTAGCGGCTGCTTGGGGAGTAGTGGCTGCTTGGGGCTACCTGGGCATGGGCAGAGAGCAGAAAGCAGGACAGACGGGAGGTCGAACATCACTGCATCTTCGGGGCATATTCAGAAACCAACTCTCGAGCAGTAGGAACATCCTGACGCAGTGATGAACCCACATTACCCTCCCAACACAAATTCTCCCCTGGCATCTTCCACCAGCACCTTTGGCCCCAGGAGGCTGGGGCACCCACGCTCACAGCTGCCCGCCCGCCGGAGCACGCGGACCACAGGGGATGCAAGAGCTATTTCTGGGGCTGCTTGAGAGAGAGGAAAGGGAAAACAATAATAATTAGAAATAAACTGGCCAGGAATGCTCGGGACAATAGATCTGGATTGCTTTTCTTCCAAGGTCTAGACCTTGGCTCAGGACAAGCCGGCTCCGACATTCGGCTCTCCCAAGAGTTTGGGGGTATTTGTCTACAGTTTGGGTTCAAGCACGTGTCAGTGCATTAAGCCAAAGAGGCAGAAGGGCGTTATCGGGTCCCTGCACTGGGGGGGGGTTGCTGAGCGTTCTCCGCGGCCAGCTCAGAGCAGACGTGGCTGCACGGCTCCGACGCTCACTCACCACCGGCACGGCCGGCACCGGCTGCAGCTGGGATCAATACACCAACAAAGGCACGTAAAAAGCAAACCGTGTCCGATGACCGCAAGCTTGACCTCCGCTTGGATTTTCCCAAACTCATTCTGGGCTTCACAGATGTAGATGGCTTGGTCATCCAGCAAGGCACCTGGAGTACGGCGGGGACAAGCCTGAGCCCGGCAATGCCAGAGCACAGTGGGGCTGGAGAGCCCCAAGAAAGCTCCAAGGGTGACACCACCCTTCCCCGCCCTTCCCCCACCTCCGATGCAGGAGAGACCCTGCAGTGCTGGAGGCTTACAGGCTGCTACAGCACAGCTAAGCTTGCACGAGTAAAAAGTGCAAATAAACCCACTATATCAACGCTTTACTACGGCAGAAAGCGTGGGCACGGGGGCTGATCCCACTGCCGGGACACCAGCCTGCAGCAGGCAGGGGGAAAGCACCCCAGGGTGATGCTGCGTAAGCGTGCAGCTGGGCGGGATGCCCGTGCACGCTCTCTGCCACGCCAGCTCACGCTCGGCTCTCTTACTGTCGATGAAGAGCTCGGCAGGCTCCAGCTGGCTGGAAACACCACGCGACCCGTGCCAGCCCGTCACGGGCTTCCCGTCCTGCCGGGACCAGGCGACCCGCGGCGGGGGAGAGCCCTCGACGCGGCACAGCAGGATCACACTCTCCCCGACTTCGACTGCCACATCGCCCCGCGGCTCCGGAAAGTGAGGGGCAGCTGGAGGAGAGAGCAGCAGAGAAGGGGCTCAGGCAGCCTCTGACACCCTGGCTTCCCCGCAGCAGACTGCGCACGGCCGAGCCCGGAGAAGAGACGGGGCTGCAAAACCCATAAGCCAGATGCCCCCAAAAGTTACAAGACTGACTTGAAGCCTTTGGTGTTTTTCCAAAGCTGTTTCCATTCCTTCCAGTTACACTCAGCATCCCCCTGGCTCAGCAAAACCGCTTGCACTTTTCCACTGTGAAGTGCTGCAAGCCTTAGTGCTTCCAACTCAGAACCTCCTCTCCTTCTCCACCCCAGGGTCTTCCATCCCTTCTGCCTGTCATGGGAAGCCCTTAGCGCTGGTTGGGGTACCTGGATTTTCACAGAAGCCAGCCCCCATCTCAGCCTAATCCCACTGATTGCACTTTACATCCCCAGTTTAGTCCCACGCACTAGCATCTGCACGGGTCTCCTGTCACTGAGCCTCTTCCATCGTCCTGACCCTTGGAAATCCCACCAGGCTCCAAGCACCAACACCACTGCGCTGGGACACCCAGGAGCTGGGGCAAGAGGAGACTTGGGAAGCAGCAAGTGGGATCTGAGCAGCAAGTGAGAGCAGGGGAGAGAGGCTGGAGCACGTGATGGGACCCAAAAGCGGGGGCAGAGACTTACAGCCCACGTCCAGCACGGTGCCGTCGAAGACGACGCCGGCCTCGCTGAGAGCCTCGCAGACGTAACGCCCGGCGTCCTCCTGCCTCACCGCCTGCAGCCGCAGGACGGCACGCTGCGTGCCCGGCGGGACCGCCGCCCCAGGCC